GTCCTGTGTTTTTCATGGGATCTGTTTTTACCCTCAAGGCAACCTTGTGTCTTCTGATTGAATGTAAAGTTCTCATTTCAGCTGGACATGGGGCCCACGCCTATAATCCTACACTCAGGAGACAGAGGCAGGAGAATCACTGCAAATTCGAGGCCATACTGGTCCATGACTGACAAAAATACATAGTAAGATAGTGTCTCAATCTCCTCAAGAAAGAAAGAATAGGGGGCTAGAGAGATGGCTCAGATGTTAAGAGCATTTGCTGCTCTTACAGAGGACCTGAGTTTGGTTTCCAGCACCTACATGGCACCTAAGAACCATCTGTAACTCCAATTCCAGGGGATCCTCCGCCCTCTTCTAGCCTCTGTAGGCATTGTATATATGGGTTCATGCAAGCAAAACACTCATACACATAAAAATAAAGCAATCAGCTGGAGAGATGGCTCAGCACTGACTGCTCTTGCAGAGGACCCAGGTTTGATTCCCAGCACCCACATGATGGCTACAAACCATCCTTAACTCCAGTTCCAGAGGAATCTGAAATCCTCTTCTGACCTCTGCGGCATTGCACACCACGGGTGCACTCATATACATGCAGGCAATACATTCGTACATAAAATAAAAATAAATAAATAAATATGTTTTTTTTAAAAAAATAAAGCGATAAAAAAAGAATAAAAGAGAGAGGAAGGAGGAGGAAGGGGGAGAAGGGAGGGAGGGAGGGATGGAGGGAGGGAGGGACAGAAGGAAGAAGGAGGGAAGGAAGGAAGGAAGGAAGGAAGGAAGAAGGAAGTTATTTCTTTCCAGTTATCAGGTCCATGGGACACAAGACCTGTGGGACAGACCAGTGTGATATCCTGTAGATTGAAAGATAACCCAGTCCAAGTCCCCCTTGGTCCTTAGAAGGATGGATATGGCTGTTTCGTGGCCATTGCAAAGTGGGAAGAATGGGCCTGACAGCCAAAAGCCAGTGCATCTGACAGTTCATGAACAGTTGTAGAGAACAAGTCACACAGACAGACATCAGTCAGACAGATGTCAGGGGGCGATGCTGATCTGCCCTAACCAACTTGGAACAGCTGCCCCATCTGGAGGCTCCCGAGCACTCTCCCACCCTGGCTTCCTGACCAGCACCTGTTTTCTGTCTAGTTGGCAAGAAAGCACTGGGGTCCCTTCTGTGGATCTTGAATGAGAATTTAAAGCCTCAAGTTCATTTTTTTCTCCTCCAGTGTGTAAGTGTGTGTGTGTGTGTGTGTGTGTGTGTGTGTGTGTGTGTGTGTGTTACTATATATGAGACGGGCTCCCTGCAGCCCCAGCTGTCCTGGTACTCTCTATGTAGGCCACGCTGGCCTCGATCTCAGAGGGATCCTTTTGCCTCTGCCTCCTGAGTGCTAGACTGAAGGCATGCTCCACCATGTCCAGTTTCTACCCTATATATGTATTTTTATTTCATGTGTATGCGTGTATTGCCTGCATGTAGGTAAGTGCACCCATGTCGTGCAATGCCCGCAGAGGTCAGAAGAGGCTGTAGGATCCCCTGGGACTGGAGTTATGGACAGTTGTTAACTGCCATGTGGGTGCTGGGATTCGAACCCGGGTCTTCTACAAGAACAACCAGTGTTCTTAACCACTGAGCCATCTCTCCAGCCCTCTACCCTGTATTTTTTATTTTCACTAAAATGCTCTGTGGTACCAAGTATTCGGCCACCCAGAGACAAAGCACTGGAACAGGCTTAAGCATGGTGATCACTGAAGCTGTTTAGTCCTGCAGGCCATGGAGAATGTGTCACCTCACTAAAAGCCAGTCACAAATGCATTAATAAGAAAAATCAATCCCAGATAACCCTGAAGCAAGTCAGAGTCTTCCTTCAGGCTGTGTTCCTTGGGAACTATGTCCAGATTCTATGCCATCCAGGGGAGAGGCAGGGGCAGGAGCCTGCTTGCCTTTATGGGGCTCAGGCAGAGACAGGCCGCCACTCTGTAATGGTACACTGTTTGTTGGGATTCAACTCTTAATGCAAGGCTGTTTCTTTTGTGCCTGGTGCTACAGCAGGGCTAATAGGAAGGGAAGCTTGCTGGGAAGTAGACAGATTGGCACCCCAGAGGGTGAAGGTGAGCGGTACCCATCACGGACTACACATCAATCTCAGCATCTTCAGGCCAGGGTGCTGAGTCACATCCTGCAGGAGCTCCCCTCCTCATCCTCTCGCCAAGCTAAAAACACACCTGGGCCCAGAGTAGGAGAAGCAGAAGGAAGAACCCAACAGGTTTCCACCTGTGAAGCCAACCAGCCTGTGACTGTGACTGGCAGCTCTGAGCTGCAAGCAGGTTTTGTGCTGGGCTCAAATCTTCTAGGTGCAAAAGGAATATGTCTGTGACTTCCCATCTGCCTTCAAGACAAACTACACAAAAACACCTCCCTTCCCTCACAAACCCAGAACTCTGCAGGGAAAGGAACTCTGGGAAGCCTAGCTTAGGTTAAAGTTACACATCTTAACTTACCCTCCCAGAGCAAAACAGAATGTTTTCCTCCAGTTCTCTTTGCAAGACCTGGCCCTGGCTCCCAGCTTGGGCATCAAGCAGCTGGCTACTTCCTTCCTACAGATTTTCCTGTTACCTGTGTGGCCTCAGGCAAAGTACTCACCTCCCTGAGCTTCCAGTGGTTTGGGATGAAAATAACTGCCTCAGAAGTGGCTACTCAGAGCTAGGCAGTATCCAGCGTGGTGGGGCTCAAAACCCGTACTACTGAGCTAGCCTGCCTTAGTTAGCTCTGTGCTCCCTGCTCAGCCACCACCAGAAGGCTTCCCCTTTGGCCCCTTTTCAGTTTGGGTACAGCTATGAGTACACACACACACACACACACACACACACACACTGAAATCCATGTACTCATATGTCGACGCAAAAGCGTAACTCTCACTTCAAAGGGGATAAGAGATAGTTTATTCTGGAGCCAAATATGCGTGAGCATGGCCCAGGAACACAGATTCAGGTTACCCCAGATTCCATGTTCCAGCGTGGTAACAGTTGCCTTACATTTTTATAGTAACAGAACAAAGAAAAATCATAAATCAAGACCCTTTTCAAATACATTGGAGGATACATTCAGTAGGCGGGTCACAGCAAAGCAAGGGGTTTTTTACTATAGGTCTCAGATGCTATCTGATAACAGTCTTAGTTTTCTGATTGGTGAGACCTAGTGGTCTGCTAAGTTAATACATTCTTTTAAAAAGAAATAAGAAGGTTTTTATCTGTTACTCACAGGATGTTAGATCAGAAACAGAGGTGGGCAAGGAGTGGCTGTTTAGGGGGCTAAAGATGGCCTGAGATAAATGGTAACTAAACTCTGGACCTGCAACATTCCAAACTCTCCACATTCATCGAAATTTTAATCAGTTGATCAGCCTCGCAGGAGAAAGTCCAGTTTGAAGACGGAAGGTTTTTTTCTGGGGACTTTTATAATTTGGCCTATGTTGGTGGTTGATTTTGAATCCAAAGCCCTATTTCAGATGCTGTATGGAACCTGTGGTTTGGAGGCCATCCACCCATTGAGTGTGTATTCCTGTTCTCCACCCACTTTTACGCACCACATATTTTCATACCTCTTAAAGGACAGCTGTGCAATGTGGGGGTGATGATTGCTTTGATGGGGCTCTGCCAAGAAATTGGCAGATCAAACATGAGTTGAGTTCACTCAGCTCTCGAAGCTTCCTCAGAGCTGGCCACAGCAGTGAAGATGGGCCTAGCATGACAGTACCCATGGATGCTGCTCTAGAGAAGAGGATGAATCTCAGAGCCCAGCCAGGCTGACCGCCCCAGGCTCTAGAATTCAAAGGCAGTTAGAGCAGAAGAGAAATGGGACTGAAATCAAAGAGTGTCTCCTGGGAACCCTCAGTGTGGCTGAGTCCCTAAACCACTCTGGGTTCCCTTTTCTCCCTCACTGAACTGGAGTTAAGGACAGTGTGGGATGGTGGGCAGAGCGAAGGCTTATAGCCAGGACCTTAGATCTAACTGTGTGCTGCTCTCGATATGCTGTGTGATTTGGGGACAGCCTCCTAACCTGTCCTGGGCCTAGTAGACAAGTGAAGGTTCCTCGTGGCCCCTTCCAGCTCAAAGCCTCCATGCTATGTTCCAGCCTTCGCAACCTTACAGCATCCCTGGCCTGGCTGAGATTGTCTGGACACTGGGGCTCAGTACTGGGAGTTGTGGAGGAAGGGACCTGCCCACCGGCCCTTCTGCAGAGCTTACCAGCCACACAACACCCGGCTACCACCTGACCCTGACAGGAAGAACAGAGGCTGGGAGCTGTTCCCACCATCACGACTGAAAACACAAGGTGTTGGAGGGACACTTGTGACTCCCCAGAAACCCACTCAAGACCGAGCTTGGGAAATGGTTCCGATTTTGGAAAAGAAAAAAATGCTGTGGGGGTGCATGTGTGCAAGTGTATGTGGTGGCCAGAGAACAACCTCAGCTGCCCTCCCTCAGGCGCTGCCCTCCCCCCACCCCACTTCCTCCCTTCTCTTACTTATCAAGTAGGATAGGCTGGTTGGCCAGCAAGTCCCAGGGATCCACCTGTCTCCCCAGCACTGCAGTTTCAAGAAGACACCACCATCCCCAGCTTTTTATTCATGAGTTTTAGTGACTGAACCTTTGTTTTCCCAGTGGGCACTTTACCAGCTGAGCCATCTCCACAGCCCACCTGATTTTGAAATGTTCATGTATGAAGCCGGCATGTGAGGCCCACTCTGGAGTTCAATATAGCTACTGGCATACGTCAAGACACGTGTGCATTCAGGATAATCTCATATAATTAAATTTATTTAGAAAATGTTCAACACTGAAGGTCTTTAAATATAAATGCCATACCTATGGGACTATTTTGGAGTTGCCAGAAAAGAAGCCAAAGGCCGTTTCTTGGAAAGGATCCTTTTTTTGTTTTGGAACACACCCTTTCTTTCACAAAGTGACAGATAACTTGGGATTTTCAATGTCCTTACTTGGTAAAATAAAAAAATAAACACTATTGCAGTGCTGGGGATAAACCTAGGGCCTTACACATGTTGTACTTCTAGCCCCTTGAAACTTCTTTAAAACACGTTTTCCTCCTGGCTCTGTGACATCAAAGAACCCCAGCATCCCTGTATCTGCCCCAGGAAAGTGTTATGAATCTCATTTTAATTATTTGTTTATTAATTCATTAATATGGGGGGGGAGCACATCTTCCGAGGAAATTAGTATTCGAATTGGTAGCTCTACTGGTAGAACCACGCGATTATCAACTTCTAAAAGTCGAAGTTCTCCAGGTTTTAGTTCGGATGTTGGGATCATGTACTGTCTTTTTCGAGACAGAGTTCTATGCAGCCCAGTGTCGCCAGAGTTCTCTCAGGGGGGGTCTCTTGCATATCAGACACACCATGTAATATATTTTTATGTAGATTTATTATGGGTTATACCCTCGGGTACGGAGTGGGTAAATGGGGGAACTTACAAAGAGACAAGCACTCTTGCGCCGCAGCTCAAGAGCCTGCCACTTCAGATTCCTCCTGTGTGGGACTGAGATGCCAGGCTATGTTTTTCTCCACGCCTGTCGCCCCTCGTTCCTGGTGGCTCAAGGCTTCCGTCCCAAGATGGTGCAGAAAACCCTCCCCAGTCAATTCTCCGCAGCAGGCCCCACCCCTTGGTGGAAACAGGCAGTTTGGGAGACTCCCAGGGTAGCTTCAAACTTGTTATGGAGCAGAGGGTGACCTTTGTCTGTCTCTACATCTTTGGGGCTTGGTCACAGGTGTGGCACCAACATGTTTCTGGAAGGAGTCTCCTTTTCTACTTCAAGGGCAAGTTCTCTTTTTTAAAAAGAGACTGAAAGTCAGAGAGCAGATACTATAGAAGTTTAAGAGGTCCAAGAGGTTCAGGAGATGCACGGGGGCCAAGCCTGCACAGCTACAGAAGCCAGAGCTGGGAGCTAAGCACTGCCCTCTCTGACCAGGAGCCCAAGGTGACATCATTACCTTTCACGTTCCTCTTGAAAAAGCCTACATCCAGGCTTGGCTGGAGGATCCCAAGGTTTAAAGAAACGAATCCAAACCACGGTCCTCCAGGCCTTCATCCAGGAAACCCTCCATCAATTTCCTGACCATCTCCATCTCTGAGAGCCTACAGGTTTCTTGAGACTTAGCTCCCAATGGTGAGAAAGGCTTAGGCAATCTCATCACACTCCCCATCAGAGGAGATGCCTGGTGGGATTTTACTAGCCTTGATAATGGATTTTATTTAATATCTACATAGCAGATTTATGAAGTTAATTTTGCTTCTACTTGAGCGAAAGTTCCCTGGAAGGTGGTGATGACAATTCAATGGCAGAAACTGAAAAGCCAACACCACCCTGGAGTGGAACTGGAGGAGCTTCTGGGCCCAGGACCACCCTCCCCTGCACAGGGTCAGTCACCCTGGGAGCTGACCAAGCCCTGGACCGGAGTTTCTCTCTAGGACCCTGGAAGGCAGAGTGTGGCCCCAAGGCACTGTCCAGTCTAGTGGAACACAGAAAGATTGAGGTCAGAGACCTTGGGGTGCACATCAGGGATGTAGGGAGGTGGGGGGGAGTGGCGGGGATGTCTTTTGTGGTAGTTGCCACCATAGTGGAGCCCACAGAAGGCATTAGCAGAGGATGTTTGGGAAATATTGGTAATGAGGGTTGTAGCTCCACAGGTTTCTCTGCAGGCAGTAGACCAGCTTCCTGTCACAGGCACAAAGCCTCATGGGACAGAAGGCCCCATGTTCTGTCAAAGGAAAAGCAAATGGAGAATGAGCCTGGGAAAAATGTGCCCCACCAATAATAACTTATTCAAAGTCAGGTCTGTGGGCAGCTTCTAGTCCTCACAGACCTCTACGTCTTTGTCTTTCTTTGAAGGAGTCCCCAGTATATGGAGGAGGATCCTGAACTGCGGTGACAGATATCTGATGGAAGAGGTTCCCCCCATCCTGAACTAGGGGCTGTGTAGTCTGATGGAGGACGCTCATCAGCTGAACTAGAGACCCATCTGTGGCTCAGGGTGAGGTGTCTGTCCAGGGAATTTCCAGTCCTCTTTGTGTGGAGTTCTTAGTCTGAGGGTGGAGACAGCCTCTGTTTGGGGGCAGGGACTAAATCACACAGAGGGGATACACCTGGGACTTAGCTTTGAACTCAGGAACTTGGACATAAATCCTGTTGCACACTGGAAAGCCTTTGAGCTTCTCTTAGGCATGTAAAATGGGGGAGATGAAGCCTACTCCATCCAGTAAAAGGAATCTGCAAGCCCATGGAACCTGGGGAATTTGGGGTCTGAACTGTGCCCCAACTTCCCTGGAGGTACAATAAGGCTACAACAGCCCCAGGCCCCTTGTCCCTGCTCTGTCCCAGAAGACACAGCCTGGTTCACCTCTCGGGCACCAGAATTCAGAGGTGGGAGATCTCCCATCCTGAATGAGAAGTCCACCCTTACCACAGGTGACCAGGCCCCGACTGAATCTGTATTTGTAGGACTGGGTCCGGATGCCACAGCCTTCTTCCTCCAGCTGTCCGTAACAGTGGTCATGTACCCAACAGCACCTGCCAACGTGGGAGATGGGGATTCTGAGTGGAGGGGCACCTTCCTGGCCCCCATCTCTGTGGGTGATTCCAAGGTGACAGAGTTCTTGTCAAACCCAAGCAAAATTAGAGTCAGAGGTGACCAGGGGGAGGCTCTGTCTGGCAGTTTGATTCAAATCCTCTCTGAAGGACTTTCTAAAGACCCTGATAAACTCTTCCTTGTCTTCACACATGCCAAGCTTTCTGCAAGCTGTACACAGAATACTGGGACAAAGTTTGACTTTCTTTTAAAAAGAATGTGACAGTTCCGACAAGATGCTCTACGGAGAACACTTGCTTAGCAACAGCACCTCCACCAATGAGCTGATGCCAGCTCTGCTGCTCTCCACAACCAATGAGCTTTGTATCTAAGCAGCATATGTAGAAGTTTCCCTCTCCTGCTAATAAAAACTTCCCCTTACCTCACCATCCCTGAATAGACCTATCGTTTCTATGGCATTCTTATTCCCGTTGCAGTGCCCTGCTATTCCCAAATCAATAGTCATTCCTTGGACACACTCTCTGAATGTTATTCAGGGTGCCAGCCCTACTAGGTACAAAAAATGCAGCCATGAAGCTCACTGACCAGAAGCTCACTGACCTGCCTTCACCTCCTAAAGGCTAAGCTAACAGTTAGACTACATTTCCCAGTTTCCCTTGCAGGCGGGTGTGGCCACAGGGGTACCTCTGGCCAGAAGCGGGACCGACCATGAAAACTTCCCTCCCAACTTCCACTTCTCATTCTCCATCTTTAGCTGTGTGGAGATGACCCAGCAGAGGCAATAGAGACAGGTGAATCACAAGATGGGAGGGGCTTTGGATCTTTCAATCACCATGAGTCAACTGAGACTTTTATCTGAGGGAAAAAAATTAACTTCTAGTGTGTTAGATGTAGTGGTTTTATTTAAATTTTTTTGATTGACAGAAAACTTGAGGTCGTAAAGGAGAAACACCTAGTTTCTTCTGTTAACATCTGATTCTCACATATTTGTTATAATTAATGGACAGTTGTACTGATATATTTCTAATTCTACAACTTTTTTTTAAATTACATATACGCATTTGTGTCCATGTGTTGGCATGTGCACAGGTGCAATGCTCTTGGAAGCCAGAAGATGGCACTGGATCCTCCCCGGAACTGGAGTTACAGGTGGTTCTGAGCCTCCAACATAGGTTAGGTGCTGGGAACCAAATCTGAGTCCTCTACAAAAGCAGTACTTCCTCTTAACTGCTGGGTCATCTCTCCAGTCTCTAGACATATTTCTAACTAAATAAGTAATTATTTGTTAACTAATAAATTATCGTTTAATTATAAGAAATTCATAGTTATTTTGACTTCTTAGTGCCTTAATTACTTTTCCCATTGCTGTTGTTAAATACTTGACAAGAAGCAACTGAAGGCAGAAAGGATTTATTTTGGTTCACAGTTTGAAGGGATAGAGTCCATCATGGCGGGGAAGGCAGGGTAGCCGGAGCATGGCGGGGAAGGCAGGGTAGCCGGAGCATGGCGGGGAAGGCAGGTAGCCGGAGCATGGCGGGGAAGGCAGGTAGCCGGAGCATGGGGCAGCTAGTCACATGGTGTCTGCAGTCAAGAATCAAAGCGAAATTAGAAAGTGGGTTAGGCTAAGAAACATCAAGGTCCACTCCTAGTGGACCTTGTGACTCACTTCCTCCAGCGAGGCTCCGCAGCAAGGTCTGCCCCCCAGCGACCCACTCCCTTGAGCTAGAACCTACCTCAGGGTCTGTCCCTGGTGACCCACTTCCTCCAGCCAGGCCCTACCTCAAGGTTCTCTCCCTAGGGACCTACTTCCTTCATCTAAGCCCCATCTCAAGGTCTACCTCCAAGTGTTCAAGCATGAGTCTATAAAGGACATTTCATAGAAGTGTGTGTGTGTGTGTGTGTGTGTGTGTGTGTGCACGCGCGCGTGTGCGTGTGTGCATCCCATATTGCCCTCAGACACTCTCCATCTTATTTTTTTAAGACAGAGTCTCTCACTGGGACTTGGGGCTCACTAATTTGGCTACACTGAATGACCAGTGATCCTTAGGGATCTACCAGTCACCACCTCCTTAGTACTGATATTACAGGCCTTTTAAATGTGGATTCTGGAGAAGTCAAATACAGGTCTTAGCCAACTGAGTTGTCTCTCCAGCCTCACATCTATAGAGTTCTATACCTAACAATATACACCATATTAAGCTAAACAGAAGTTCATACTGATAACTTCAACCACAATCTAGTACCACATAGATCACTCTAGCCCTCCCTGTTCCTTATCTGTAAAGCCCCACTCCAACCTGGCCTCAACCTCCTGCTGTTTATTTGTTGCTTTCCAATATGATGTCCAGTGGCATCAAAACTGTTAACTCCACATGTTGAATTTTCCAAAGAACAAGATCCCCTGTCTCACACATTCTTCAAGAACGGCAACACTTCCCAATCAAAAGGCAGAACCCAGGTCCTCTCTTCTCTATGTAAACTGACATATAGAAACTGTACACATTTATGGTTGTGATGACTAATCTTAACTGTCAACTTGGTTGATTAAGAGCTACCTAGGAGATCAGAGAAGCCCACCTCTGGGTGTGTCTGTGAGGACTCCTCCAAAGATTAGGTCATGAGGGCTCAGAGCTAATGGAAGGATTCCTCCAGTCACAGATTCATAACGAGTAGGCATTACTGGGAGGTGGTAAGAGATAGGAAGAGGGCTCTAGTTGGGGGAAGTAAGCTGCTTGGGAGTATGTCCTATCTTGCCCCGGCATCATCTGTATTAGTCTCTCTGCTTCCTGACCTCGGGAAGAAGCTCCTCGGCCAGACACTCCCTCCATCATGATGTTCTGCCTGAAAACAGGCCCAGAAACATCAAACCAAGTGACCATGGACCAAACTCTGAAACTGTGAGCCAAAATAAATAATTCACCCCTTAAGTTGTTTCTGTCAATTGTTTTGTCACAGTGAGAGAAAAGTAACTAAGACCACGACAGTGTTAGCAACACCCCAACCTAGACGGCCAGCTTATCCATCACTTCAAAATTCATTTCTTTGTTGTGAGACCATTAGAAATCCCGTTGGTTCCCAGCACCCACATAGAGGCTGCAACCGCCTGTAACTTCAGTCCCAGTGGATCTGATGCCCTTTACTGGCCTCTGCAGACATCCCATGCATGTGATGCACTTATATACATGCAAGCAAAACACTCATACACATAAAATAAAAATAAATTTTAAAATATTAAAAGAAGAAATCCCCTCATAGGTCTTTTAAGGTATTCATGCATTATTAACTGTGGTCATAGACCATCTGAGCTTATTCCTCCTCTGACTCTAACTGTACACTGGTTGACTAATCAAGGTCCCCTTTCTCTTAAGGCTTTTGTGACTGTTCCAACCAAGAAGACCATGTACATAATACTGTAGAATTTCTGGTCTATGATAAAAATACTATGCTTTTTTGTTTGTTTTACTTTGTTTTTAGACAGGGTCCCCTTATAGCCCCAGCCGGCCTGGCACTCACTATGTAGACCAGGCTGGCCTTGATCTCACAGACATCCGCCTGCCTCTGCCTCCTGAGTGCTGGGATTAAAGGCGTGTGCCATCACACCTGGCTCCTTTGTTTTTTAAGACAGTCTTTGTAGCTGAAGTTAACCTAGAACTTGCTATATAGCCCATGCTGGTCTTGAATTCTTGATCCTCCTGCCTCTACTTTCCCATTTCTGGGGTTGCAGGCATGCACCCCCACATCCAACTTGTCATCCTCTTTTTCCTTGCAGTTCTGGAACATTTGTTCTCAAAACACAACCGTCACCATGCTGTGAGGAAGTCTAGACATCCCTGAAAAGGACTCAGAGAAAAGACTGGAGGCCCCACCCACAGCGTCAGTGGGATCCTCACCCACAGTCACAACCTGAGCCATAGCCATGAACCACCTGCAGTGGGGATTATCCAGCTGCAGTCACGGTTGCCCAAGCTGAAACTGATCAGAGATGAGCCAAGCCCTCCGGACGGCAGGTTCATGAGCAAAGTAAGTGATCTTGGTTTCATTAAGCCGTGATGTTAGGATTATCTGTTATATTTCAATAAATCAAATGGCACATGAAATGACTGAGGTCTCAGGACTGCTTGGGAATTACCTGGTCTATCGTAGCAGGCCATTTAACACCTCTGAGCTTCAGTTTTAATACTCACCTTTTAGAATAGACATGGAAATCTAATGAGGTGACAGAACTGTAGCACCCAGAGCATAAAGGGTGATAAAGATGCCAGCTTACCAATCAGTGCCATCCTTAGGGGTTCCTCGGCCGCCCCAGCCACAGTAGCAGCCATAGAAGCCGTAGTTCCTTAGGGCATTCTTTCCCGTCACCTTCTCAATCATGGACTTCAGGTCCAGCAAGCCCCCTGTGACTGCAGGAACACCTGAAAGACATCCCCAGGCAGAGATGACACCAGGCACCCTGCTGAGGTCCATGTCCCAGACCCTTCTGCTCTTCCTCTGCCCTCTCTAATTCTCCCAGCTAATGGTACGAGAGCCAGGCAGAGGGAGGCAAGCAGCTCAGAACAGCAGTTAAGAGTTTGACTTGAAGGACCAGGGATGTGGCTCAGTTACAAAGTGCTTGCCTAGCATGCTCAAAGCCCTGTGTTATATCCCCAGCACCACATAAACTGTATGTGGTAGATGCTTATAACCCTAGCACTTGGGAGGTAGAGACAGGAGGATCAGACATTCAAGAAGGGACTGGAGAGATGTTCTGTGGTTAAGAGCACGGGGTGCTATTGCAGAGGACCAGGGATCAGTTCCCAGCACCCACATGGTGGCTAACAACTATCTGTAACTCCAATTCCAGGAGATCTGATACCCTTTTCTGACCTCTGCAGACCTTGCACGGCACAGGTACACTTACACACATGTAGGCAATACACTCATATGGATAAAATTTTAAAAATAATAGATAAAATATTTTTTTAAAAGATAAATAAAACTTTTAAAGTTATTTTTAAAAAGTTCAGTGATGTCCTCAGCTATGTAACCAATTCACAGTCAGCCTGGGTTACTTGAGATGCTATCTCAAAGTAATAATTAATAATAATAACAATAATAATAATGAATTTGGACTCAGAAGCAGAGCAGGCCTGGGTTTAAAGTCAGTTCATGCATCTCACAAATTGGGAAAGTGAGATTCCTGTAAGTCTAGAGGGAAATATCCTGTCCAGGACTTCCAACACAAGAAACCAGGGGCTTTTCCATGCCTCAGGTCTTGGGTTCCTCTTGAGATCGCCAAGGATCCGGCAAAGAGCAACACACCTTCCAAGGGGCTGTTTGAGGGGTTTGGGGGGGTGCAGAGAAGCCTAAAGTCAGATGTATAGGCACCTCCCAGGTGGAGTGGTACATAGACGATCTGGATGATGGAATCTGAGAATGATGATGGAATCATTATCTGGAGTTTCTCTCTCTCTCTCTCTCTCTCTCTCTCTCTCTCTCTCTCTCTCCCCCTCTCTCCCCCTTCCTTTCTTCCTTCCCAGATTAGGGACTGAAACTAGGGCCTCACACATGCTAGGCCAGCACTCTACCGACACATTATCCCCCCAGCCTTGGGCTGGGCTATTTCTTCAGGGTTCCTGTGCTTCTCTTTGATCTCACTATGTGTCCTTGCCTGGCCTTATTTCCACATTCAGGGAAATATCTGCCCCCTCCAGCCCCCTCCTATGCACAAGCTTCATCTCTCTCTATGCACAACACCATCTGAACCAGAGCTGACGCGGGGACCCGGAGAGACCAGCACCCTTGCTGATGTCCATGTCTGCACCGGAAGTAGAGAATTGAGATTCAAACATGTCTGCACACCTACAGACTGGTCTCCTTTTCACTACCCTGTCTCTCCCAAGGCAGCAAAGGGTCATTCAAAGGTCTCGAGGCAAGCACTTACTGCAAGCCAGGAACCAGGCCAGCATGAGGAGGCTCTTCATCTCTGGGTTCTGGAAAATAAAACACATCCCAGGGCATGTCTATAGGCCATCACTGCCAAGACCCACGCGGACTCTGTTCCACTCTGCATCAAGCCCGCCTGTTCCCTCATTGGGCAATACACAGACTGTTCCAGTCAAGAAATGGAAGGCAGAAGCCTCTAGAATGTGATCCACAGGAGTCCTGGAGGCAGAGGGTCGGCAATGTAGTGTGTATGAGAAACACTCTCCGTCAGAGGTGGCAGGGACAAGTGCCCCAGCTCATTTGTCCCCTTGGCAGGTGGCACAAGGTGAAGGGCAGGAGCTGACATGCGAGAAACACAGTTGATGAGGGGCTAAGAGCCAGTGTGGGGGAGCAGCGAGATGGCTCGGTGGGTAAAGGCATTGCCACCAAGCCTGGTGACCTGAGTTTGATCCCCGTGACCCACATGGAGGAAGGAGAGAATGGACTCCCACAAGTTGTCCTATGACCTCCAGGTGCACTACACACATGGGTGAGGGCACACACACACACACACACACACACACAGAAACATACACACACAAAATCATGCACACACAAATAAATACAAGAAAGAAAGAGAGAGAAAGAGAGAGAAAAAGGGGGAAGGGAAGGAAAGGAAGGGAAGGGAGGGTCTGGAACACAGTGCTGAGCAGGCAGAAGGGAGCTGGTGTTTGCATCTCGTTCTTGTAGTTCATGGGGCTTGGGTCACTGAGTTTCCTGCTGATTCTCTGAAGATAGAAACTGGTGGTCTCTCCTTTATCCCTGTACTGAGCATAGTGACCATAAGGAAGGGTGTTTGGGAATGAAGTCTAGAACCCATGATGAATCAGGGCTTTGCAAAGGGGATTCTTCATGGCTTTGTGCACCCCAGACACTTTGTAGGCCGTGTGTGTGTGTGTGTGTGTGTGTGTGTGTGTGTGTGTGTGTAGGAAATGGATGGATAGATGGATGGATGGATGGATGGATGGATGGATGGATGGATGAATAGACAGACGACAGACAGATAGATGACAGCCCTGCCAGAGAGGCACTGTTCCCATTTGCCAATGGGAAAACTGGGCTCAGAAGGCTCCAGGAATCTGCCAGAGGTGACACAGTCAACGAAGAGGGAAATCAGGATTTGAACCTAGGTCTTGCACCCTTCACTGCAGCACATGGCTTCCCCTCCTAGAGGGGCAAATTCTTCTAAGCAGGGGTTCCGTACTTTCATGCACTCTGCCCCCTAAGTCTCCCTCTTTAGCATTTGTCTTTGGCAATAAACACCCACTTCCAGTCAGAAGTTTGAAAGCATTCGTGATCAAAAGGTGGGGGAATTCATGTGTTTCCAGTCCGGACCCTGGGAGACTCCTTTACTGGTGTATCTGCCTGCCTATCCTCCCCTCCCACCACCCCGAAGTCCCTGTGTCTCCACAGCTGTGCTGCTGGCCCAGGGTTAGCCAGGAATCCCCCTTTGGTGCTCCACTGTCTTCAAGTTCCTGAGTGCACTCTCTGCCTGGGTCCCTGGCACTACCAAGAGCCTGGTTTCCAAACACAGGGTTTTAGACTCCCCGGGGCTTCTGGCTACTGGGCTGGCCTTTGTCCAGCAGTGCCTCTGAGTGCCAAGAACATTCCTGAGAGTTCTGTCCCCACACAGCCTCTGCTCTGAGGTCTCTAAGCATCCAAGTAAGATGGCCTTAGATGCCACTTTCCACACCAGTCTTACTCTGCAGTTTTCCAGAGCTGCACCAGGGCAAAGATGCCGGAGGTTTACCCAGTGGGCATCTCCAGTGTGCCAGGAACCCTCCACATCGCTTCAGAACCACCCATGGCCTAGACTGGTACCTAGTGTTAAACCTACTGTCTGTCCTCTTAAACAGGTATTTGTTGGATGAATAAATGAAGGCAATTGTTGATTTTACACATTCAGAAACTGTAAAGCCCAGGCAGGGGCTGAGGAGATGGCTCAGTGGATGAGAGTGTTCTCTGTATAAGCATGACTGTGCACCCACATAAAAAATCTGAACCCGGGCGTGGTGGCACACGCCTTTAATCCCAGCACTCGGGAGGCAGAGGCAGGCAGATTATCTGTGAGTTTGAGGCCATCCTGGTCTACATAGTGAGTCCCAGGACAGCTGGGGCTACAGGGAGACCCTGTCTCAAAAAGACGAAAAAAAAAAAATCTGAGTGTTGAGTATGGCTGCACATACTTATCAATAACCCCAGTGCTGTGGGGGCACAGACAAGATCAGTAGGGCCTGCTAGATGCCAGCCCAACTGCAAGGTGCATGAGATACCTTGTCTCGAGGAAATAAGGTAGAGAGTAACAGAGAAGGGCACCCTGAATCCAGGAGGGAGGGAGGGAGGGAGGTTGGGAGATCGGGCAAGTGAAAATAGTTGCCTAAAAGTTTAGCTCCAGCTGGTGAATCTCTTCCTTTGACTGACTTCTCCTACTCCATTGTCTCTAAGCCACCATTACATGTGTTTTTCTCCCCCCGCCCCTCCTCCTCCTCCTCCTTCCTCCTTTTCCTCCTCAATAGGGTCTCCTGTAGAGGGAGGGAGGGAGGGAGGTTGGGAGATCGGGCAAGTGAAAATAGTTGCCTAAAAGTTTAGCTCCAGCTGGTGAATCTCTTCCTTTGACTGACTTCTCCTACTCCATTGTCTCTAAGCCACCATTACATGTGTTTTTCTCCCCCCGCCCCTCCTCCTCCTCCTCCTTCCTCCTTTTCCTCCTCAATAGGGTCTCCTGTAGCCCAGGCTGCCCGTAGAATCGCTATGTAGTCCAAGGATGACCTTGAATCTCTGATCCTCCTGCCTCCGTCTCCAAGTGTTGTGATTACCGCCAAGTACTGCCATGCCTAGTTTATACTGTGCTGGGGATGGAACCCAGGACCTTTATGCATGCTAGGCAAGCACTCAACCCACTGAGCTATATCTCCAGCCCATGCGTGATGTTCTCTTATGAAACTTTGACATGGGGGAGTGGGGTTGCTAAGCAGGAGCATGTGCCTCTAGCAGGCTAGCTAATTCCTACAGCTAGCACCTGGCTTCCCTCAGAACACACTTTTCACAGGCAAACCAAGCAAGCCAAACCCTTAACCCTAGCACCCACATGTATAACCTTAACCCTAGCACCCACATGTATAACCTTAAACCTAGCACCCACGTGGATAACCTTAACCCTAGCACCCACATGTATAACCTTAAACCTAGCACCCACATGTATAACCTTAACCCTAGCACCCACATGTATAACCTTAACCCTAGCACCCACGTGTATAACCTTAACCCTAGCACCCATGTGTATAACCCTCCCAGTCCTACCATTCCCACCCCTCCTCCCAGTTACCCCAGGCCAAGTCCCCACCTAGGAAGCCTGGAGCTACGGCTAGGAATCTCACTAGCCAATCCTAAACTAATACCCTGGGACAGTCTTTCCCCTTTCTACCCCTTCGCACCCATTCATGTTGGCACCCACCCCACCCCCCATGTTCCCCTGCTGGGGTAGGCCCTCTTCTCCTGGGAACTCTAAGTAGCGAACTCCTAAAGAGCCATCATTTTCCTGACCTGTTGGCCTCATCCAGGCATAGTGCACAGTTCCCTGAACTGGGCCATTGCCATGCAGATACAGCAGAAGCCCCTACAGAGTTGCAGAGTGAGACAGGTTCAACAGAGGGGTTGGCCTTGGCAGAGCCTGGGAAAGCTGCCCAGGCGTCTAGACCATGGCTGGAGCCCCAGGCATTCTGAGGGAAGGATGTGGCATTGTCTATTTTTGTCAGATGACCACAAGGCCCACTGTGAGATAATTTCAGAGTGTCGTGGGGCTGCAGTACTGAGAGATGGGGAGAGCAGAGTCAACGGAAGAAGCACAGAGACCAGGGAATGGCCAGGTCACCGAGGGACAGACCCTTCAAGCCCACACGACGAACCCCCATGTGCCCAGGACCCCCACATCACATCTTCTAGCTGGAAAGGTCCAGATGTCTCTGAGATGCACCCCTATGTCCTGGGGCCCTTCTCTTGACCCTGTGCCCCCAGAGAGGAGCAAGATCTCTCTACTCACAGCCCCCTCCAGGCCCTGCTCCCCACACCCCCACTGTGAGGACCCAAGAATGAGAATCTCACCTGTAAGCCCCTCTCTGTCCTCAGGCCTAGAGACAAGGCAGCCAGCTGGGTCTGCTTGGTTTTAAGACCCGCCTTGTCGCCTCCCACACCACACCCCACCACACTGAGGCACTGCTGCCTGGGCTGCCTCCAAGATTCCTGGTAACAGAGAGGAGGCCTACATCCCGAGACCCCTGAAGATTTCCTTCTCCAGATACAGAAGCAGCTTTCCTGAGCTAGGTCAGCTGTGCTGGGTGACTTGCAGGGCAGACATCCGGGGAGGGTCTGGCTTGAGCCACCAGGGGTCCCTGGCTAATCTCCACCCTGGAATCCCCTCCCAGGCACAGCCACCCTTCCTGCGCTACAGTGGGCCTTTGTGGAGTGCCCCAGCCCTGGGCTCCGTGTGGTTTCCCAGCTCACAGCAACAGCATCTACTTTGTCCCATCTTCCAAGGCCTCAGCTCAGGAGCAGCCATTGGAGCCCAGTGGCACTCCCAGCCCCATCTCTTCCTCTCCTTCCCATCTTACAGCCCCAACTTTCTCTGGAGTCTATAAAACCCCTCTTGGAGATGCTGCAAGATGTCAGCTCCCTAGTCTGGTGGACACCTGACTCACTATTGAACCCTCACACCAGGCTGGAAAGTAAAAATGTAAGCTGCAGTCCCCAGCTTGTAGCTGTGTAACCCTTGGCAAATGACTACACTTCTCTGTTTCTTTATGGGACACATGAAAACAATTAATCCCTTAGCCTGGTAAAGAGGGCACAATACAAACTAAAATAGGAATAATAATTCACCACTGTTCACTTGTGTGAAGCCTCATCCCCACGAAGATTTTTTGAAAAGCCTTGGCGTGAGTCTCTGCCTCCAGCTTCCTGTGTGTGTGTGTGTGTGTGTGTGTGTGTGTGTGTGTGTGTGTGTGTGTGTGTGTGAGAGAGAGAGAGAGAGAGAGAGAGAGAGAGCGCACATGGAAGCCAGAGGTCAGCCTCCAGCGCCATCTTCAAGTGCTGCCCTCCTTGAATTTCAAGACCCATCTCCTGCTTGGTCTGAAGCTCCCTGACACTGGTGGACTGAAGCCCCGGGGATCTGCCTGGAATTATAAGTACACACCACTGTGCCTGGCTTTTTTTCCGTTCTTATGTGGGCTCTAGGGATCAAACTCAGGTCATAGCTGTGTGCCAAACACTTTACTGACTCAGTTGTCTCTCCAGGCCCTAGTCCCTGACTTTCTATCCCTCCTTCCTCCCATCTCTCCCAAGGGCAGCAGTGGGGAACCTCACACACATCTCTCTCTCTCTTTCTCTCTCTCTCTCTCTCTCTCTCTCTCTCTCTCTCTCTCTGCAGGAACTAACCATGGAGTTGTCCAAGGATCCCCAAGAATTCAGGTTGACACAAAAATACATGTTGAGTGTCTATTGAATGCCAGACATCTGTAGGGATTCAACCCTGAATGAGACAGAGTCCCTGCCTTCTGGTGTGCGGAAACTGATGGACTGTGTGAATTATGAACTTCATTATGTCATAAAGTCATAAATGCCTTAAAGTGGCTAAATGGCCCTAAATTGGCAAGCCTACCTTGCACAACAAGGCTTATCAACTGATCACTCCCAGGACTGAAGGAGACTGTTTATGGAGCCTAACTGCCTAAGATAGCTCACCTGCCTGAGAAAACAATCTTGAGAGAGAGAGAGAGACCCTCTAACACTCAAGGACACCAGACCCTGGCACCGAGTTAACTCCTGCAGCTGTGTTCAACAGCGTCCCTGAGTAAGTCCAAACCGCCCCTCCCTTTGATAAAGACACCTCATTCCCAAGGCAAGGCTTCTGCCCTTTGCTGTGACTCCTGAATAAAGGACACATTCCTCACCTGTGGCAGGCCTGGCTCTGACTCTTCTTTCTAAACTCTAAACTCCTTCCTTTTTCTGCCCTCCTAAATCTAACAGAAACAGCTCGTACAAGCATCAAATCCATGGAAACGGTGGTCAGGTGTTGAAGCCAGAACCTTTGTTTTTGTCTGTCCTTGACCAGTTCCTTCCCTCTGTGTCTGTGGTGGGAGACAGGGTGTGTGGAAGTCAGAGGACAGCTTTCTGAGTCACTTCTCCTTTCCCATCACGTGAGTCCTGGTGACTAGAACTCAGGTTGTCAGGCTTGGCAGCAAGCACCTTTATCAGCTGAGCCATCTTGCCAGCCCTTCAGTTACCTTCTCTGCCACAAGCACTTGCTGGCTTCACCAACTAAACTGGACAAAATGGAACCAAAACCTGCAAAACAAGGGGCTGCGGATGTGGCCTGGTGTGTCGAGTGCTTGCCTGGCATACACCAAGCCTTGGGTTCCATCCCCAGTACCACAGAAGCCAGTCCCCTATAAATTATGTCTATAATTTCAGCACTCGGGAGGCGGAAGCAGGAGAACTGGAAGTTCAAGGTCATCCTCGGCAAACTGGGATACAGCTGGGAACAATAAGGAGGTTCTGTCTCAGAAAAAAAGGAACCTCGTGTGTTGGACACACCTTTAATTCCAGCACTCAGGAGGCAGAGGCAGGCGCATCTCTGTGAGTTCAAGGCCAGCCTGGTTTACACAGTAAGTTCCAGGCCAGCTGTAGCTACAGGAAGACCCTGTCTTTATCCTCTTTTGGCTGTAATGACTAATGACCTCTAAGTTTTGACTTTCCTGGCTAAAAGTCCACATCCCCATCACCTGCTCTTCATCCTTCACAGCCTGGATTCCACTGTGTCCCAGCTAAGGGCTGTCTATGCTTGGGTTTCATTCTCTCGGGACACTCCACCTCCTCTCCAAGCTCTCTGGCTGCCTGTACAAGCCCACAGTGTCAGTTGCTCGCCTGCCTACCCCTGCCCTCTCCTGCCTCAGCTGACCATCCCCCATTCCCAGATGCAGGCGGATCCTCCCACCACTTGTCTTGCAGGGATGTCCCTCCACCCCTTCCTGGGTGAGCCCATCCTCGCTCTTATTTCTAGGCAGGTGGGGGTGGGGGCCAGGCACGGTTTGAGTGGAGCTTTACTCAGGAAGATACACTTAGTAAGAACGTGACATGGAAGAGAGGCGCAATGCCAGCTGAAGAGCCAGGCTTCAAGTCACACACACAGGTTCAAATCTGAATGGTGCCTCACCCTCACAGGTGGTCTGACCTCGTAAGGACCACTGTTTTCTCATATAAACTACAATGATGGGGCTGGAGAGATAGCTCAGCAGTTAAGAGCACTGATTGCTCTTGCGGAGGACCCAGGTTTGATTTCCAGCACCCACATGTTGGCTAACAACCGTCCTAACTCCAGTTCCAGGGGACCCAACGCCCTCTTCTGACCTCCAAGGCACTACACGACACAGGTACACTTATATACACGCAGGCAACACACTCATACACATAAAATAAAAACAATAAATAAAATTTCATATGGTTTGTGGTCCCCAGGAGGCTGGTACCTAGACAGCACAGGTGCGATACCTGGCAGAAAAATCTGCCTGAAGCCCTCCTCTTCCAGGCTGTCTTCCAGGATACCTCCTTTGGCGGCAAGTCTGCATGTCTCATGGAGGTACTAACTCTCAACATGTATACTTCTCACTGTACTTCCTGTTGGAGGGGTTCCTCAAGATGTTGACTCAGGAAGGAAAGAGAGAACTCAGGAGCCACTGTGATCTCCCACAGTGTCCAAAGCTGCATCAGCTTTTGCAATCTTCTGAAACCCAGGCAAAGTCTCTGGATGCATGGTGATTCTACTCTGTAAGTAAGGAAACAAAACCAAAGGGCCAGTGGTTAGGGAGCTTGCCTGAGGTCCCCCAGCTAGTGAAAGGGTTCACAGCCGTCAGCCTGGCCTGCCTGCCACCCCAAACACCCAGTGCTTTTCTACATAGACAAACTGAGAGGTGGGAGCCCAACCTAAGTGAGCTCATGATCCCAGGAACTGCTGAGTGAGTGACCTGGGAGCTTTGTTTATTCATTTTCAGCCCAGGGCTGGGTGTGCCCCTAGGAGAGGCCAGACTTAGTCCATATACTGTTTTTTCAAAACATATAACCTAGGCTGGGAAAACAGCTCAGTTGGTAAATCTTGCAAACACAACACATGAGTTTGATCTGCAGAACCTGCATTAAAAAAGGGTGGGGGCTCTGGAGAGTTGGCTCAGTGGTTAAGAACACTGGCTGCTCTCGTAGAGGACCCAGGTTCCAAACCCAGCACCCACATGGCAGCTAACAACTGTCCATAATTCCAGTTCCAGGGGATCTGCTGCCCTCTTCTGACCACCACAGACACTGCACGACATGGGTGTACTTAGATACCTGCAGGCAATACACTCATACACATAAAATAAAAATAATATATAAAATACTTTTTAAGAGCCAGGCACGATGACATGCACTTGTAATCCCAGCACTAGGGAGGCAGAGACAGACGGGTTCCTGGGGCTCCCTAGCCAGTCAGAAAATTCCAGACCAGTGAGAGGCCCTGTCTCAAAATAGGTCAACAGTGCCTGAAAAACAAAAGCTGAGGTTGTCCTCTGCCCCTTTACAGGCAAAAGCACTCATGTACCTACACCACATGAACATGCAAGCACACACACACACACACACACACACACACACACATATGTAACCAGTTGCCAATACATCAGTGTTGAGACCTTAGACAGAAATCTTTGCAACTTCTCCTAGAGCCCTGGGTTCCTTTGCAACAATACTCACCAATCCTTAATGTCTTTTGCCCAGCCTGCCTCCTAGCTGCTCACTGCTTGGGGCGGGGGTGTCTCTAGTGGCCACAGAACTCAATCTGAAGCCACTCTTAGCCAACCTTGCATTTCAAGTACTGAGCTCTGAGCCTAGTACACAGTATTTGTTCAGTGAATAATGTGGAAGTACACTAAGGCACCAGGAGGAAGAGAGGGATTCTGGAAGAGGCGTTGCCTATATTGAAACCGACAGAGTAAATAAATCAGGCTTGGTGGTACATGCCTGCAGTCTCAGCACTTGGGACATGAAGCAGGCAGATCCGAAGTTCAAGGTCAGCCTCAGCTATATATCAAGTTCCAGACTAGCCTAGAATATATGAGA